GGAATGGGGCAAAGTGAAAGTCTCCGGGCCGATCACTGGGCGAGGCTGGGACTGTTGCGAAAAATGGAGGGGGCGGTGGAGGGCACCGGGAGGGAGGCAGAGGGGCCGAGGGTTCTTTATTTGGAGTAGGTTCTCATGACGGAGATGGCGGGGCAGGCCAGCTGGGATTCCGCTTGCAGTGGGCTTCCGCGACAGCAGTGCCTGCCTGGTGCATTCCTGGGATTAAGGAGGGAGGCCTTTTAACCCCCTAGAGTGTCCTTCTGAGGAGGAGGCCCCGTGTTTGCTTGTTCCCTTTTCGACGACTCTGCTCCGTTGAAACGCAGGCATGTTTGTTGTTTACACCTTGGTGGACGAGACTGTGTGGCGGCAGGGCGAACGGTCTTGGCTCCAGACCCAGGATGCCTTCCTCTGGGCCCGCTCCCCTGCTTGGGGTTCCGGTGAAGGCTGGTGGGCCCCAGCTGTGCTGCCTGAACACTCTCCAGACGAGTCGATATTCCCTAGCTAAGACTTTTTCTGTGGTGGTTATTCTGCTGATTGCAGATATCTTTGCTTTTGCTGACATCCTGTTTTGTTTTTGGGGTTTTATATCCATTTGTTGTTTCTTTTTATCACAGAAACGCTTCGTTAAAGGACTCAGGCAGTACGGGAAGAACTTCTTCAGAATTAGAAAGGAGCTGCTTCCCAATAAGGAAACAGTGAGTACAATCGGACTTTATGTAACTTGATTTTTTTTTTTTCTCGTTGCTCCTGCTGCTTCTCTACATTTGATCTTACGAAATGGTTTCCTTTAACCCTGTGCTGTGCCCAGATGTAGTCTGGCCTGTAGAATTGTTTGCCCACTTCCTTGACTTTTAATTTCAGCTCATTATTTCAGATGCTAAAGGAAAATGTTTACATCCCTGAAGAATGTGTTATGATGTAGGAATGGAAAGTGAGTTGGGGGGAAGGGTTGTTGGGGAGTTAACATCTCATTTTAAATACATTGGCTGAAGGAGGAGATGTCATTCATCACTAGTTTGGCCTTGGTAATAGGCAAAACTCATCAACCAAACACGGATAGAATTAAGAGACTTATGGCTCATTGTACTTTGAATTCTGTTGGGATTTTCCCCCTTTATTTAATGTTGCTATGCCTTGAAGGGTAGTTGTAATAGCACTTTACTGTTCCTGTCCTAAAAGTTAGCACTTTTATTGAACTGATACACTGGGGTTTTTGTAATTTGTTTACGTGGAGCTTTTAGAAAGTCCTTTTGATTTATCACAAGGCTCGGGCTGAGATCTGACAGCCACAGTACTCCTGATAAAGTTGTGTTCTCAGTGTTTGCTGTGGAAACTTGAGAGCAAAATTAATGTTGGGAAGGCATTCACTCTTCTTTACCTGTAATTGCCTGCCCTCCTGATCATAGAAGTGGTTACTAAGGACACTGAAGGGGAGTCTTCTGCTGGCGGGGCCACGGAAGGTGGGGTGTTGAACCAACCACTTAACAGCAGCATTCAGTAACCGGAAGTTCTCCTCTGGACTAGAGGGAGGTGGCATTGATATTTAACCTGCCTCCCCATTGGGCTGCTTTTTTTAGGAAATGGGAGATGGCTGGAGAATCTCCATTATAAAAGGAGGAGGGTGTTGTTGCTAGTTTCCTTTTTCTGTTTTCTTTTTGGTGTTGTTTACTGACTTCTTACTTGATTTGCTCTTTTAAAAATGAACTTTTTCTGGACACTTATTACATATGTAATATTGCATTAAGAACCATGATAGCACATAGTGGGGAAGAAAGTTTCTGAGATTCCAAGCGTGGTCCAGTATAAGTTGATGGCTTGTATCTATCAGTGATCATCAAGTTAAAATTGTAATATCTGTTACACATCTAAATATGCTGAGATAGGTCATTGAGAATGGTAGAACTGCTTATAAATATCAAAATAATAGTATGGAATGGATTTACCTCATCAGTTTATTTTTGCTCTTTCTAGAACAGGTTAGAAATAGGTATTTAACGCGGGACAGTGAAATAAATACTCTTTAAATTTTCTGGAGATTTCAGTTCTTTTTTCCCCTGCCTCCAGCATCAGGGATTGAACTCAGGACCTTGCCGCTGGTGAGGCAACCGCTGCACCACTGAGCTAAATCCCTTGCTGGAGATTTCAGGTTTTTGGGTTTGATGCAGATTTCTAGAAATTAATTAAAATGCCGGACCGAGGTGTCACTTTTTGGTTTGACTGAGTGAAAAAGATATAAACAAGTAGGTTTGTCCAGAAGTTGTGACTGGCTAGACTGTTCCCGCAACTCAAGTTTTAGCGTTTCCTGTCTCTGCTAAAAGGTGTAAATCATGAAGAAATCTGACAGTCATTTTACCTTAACCATTTAAAACAAATGTGTAATCGCATAGTTGAAATCAAAAGCTATTATCATTTGGAAACACCAGACAGTTTTATCCAGTGTGTTATCTCCCGAGTAGAAATAGAGTTGGCTAACCTTTAACCTAGCTAGGTGAGGCTCTTTTCATCTGTTTTTCTGATTAGAGAAGAGAAGGTCAGTTTCATCTAACCTCTTTTCACTCTTGGTTGTCCCTTCTTTTGGATGGTGCCATTTCAGGGAACAGCCTTTTCTTCCCTGTGCTCTGGCTCCAGCTTGTCCTTCTCAGCACCCCCTTCCTGAGACCGAGTCATCCCTCTGCTGGCACCCAGGACTCTGTGCCAGGCTTCTTCACCAGGGCATGTGGCTGGGATGAGTAGGAGAGTGGTTTGCAGCAGTGGGCTGCCATTTGCTAAGCATTCCACGTCCTCCTGTCTTTGGTGGCATTGGAGGAGTTTGGAAGTTTTGAGTATTTTAATCAGCTGGGAGAGGCTCTCCTCTGGTATTTTCCTTGGTTATCACATAGCCAAGCTAATCATTTACAGCCTACAGGGAGGGTAGGACGAAGGTTATTTTTTCATTTTTGTTGCAGAAGATGAGAACATTGCAGTTACCAGTGTTCTTTGTTCAAAAATTCCTTGGTAGAGATCTTCTTATGATCATGTTCCTTTTTATGGGAAATTCCCCAATCCAGATAATTTCCACGTTGTCTTCTGTCTTCCAGAATTAACTTATTTCTTTGCTATTCTCAAGTGACTTGAAACATTAGAAGGGCATCTGCATCCAAAAGAACACGTCTGATTGGTCATGGGGCAAGGGTCAGCAGACCTGTGTTCTATTCTTGGCCTTTCCAGTAACTATAGTACTTGATGGTCAGTCTTCACTGTGACGTCGGCAGCATCAGGTTCAGGTCAGGCCTCACAAGGACTGGGAAGTTCCATTCTTGCAAGTGGTAGCTCTTTGCTCAAGAATCTCATGGGTGCTACTGTCTTCACACAAGGCTCAGCTATTCTGCACCTTAGAGCCAAGTGATGGTTATTGCCTCCTTTGTCTTTCAGCATGTGTCTGTACAACAGGATGGTAATAAGAAAGCGGTTTTCATTTCTGTCTTGCTAAAATTGCTCTCTGTAGAAACACTGAGGGGTGGAGAGCAGGTCCTAGCCTAAGATACATCTCCTCCCCTTTGAGTTTAGCAAGGGGACCTCCGTTCCTACCCATTCAGTCCGTGCAGTTAGGTCAGAGGAGGGTTCCTGGTGGCCATGGATATGAGCAGCTTTCCCAGCCCTTTTGGTTTCTGGTGTTTATTACATGTGAGCTAAATACGGCTTTTCCCTCAACACTGGCGCCCACTGAAGTGGGAGTAGTGGCTATGATCGTGGAAAACCAATAGAGGTTATGTGTTAACCTTGTGGTGCCTAAGAGAGCCAACTGCAAGCCAGATATTCCAGGATCATGGTTGTGCAAATAGCCTGCAATTTATTGTTCTAATTATTTCTCCCTTTCTCTAAAGTTGTTTGCCTCTCTAATATGCTTGTGAAGTGTATAGTTAGGAGATAAAATACGGCAAGGAATCAACAGAACATCTCAGAGTCCCACTGGCTGTGTATTTCTTCTGTCTGAAGCCACTGTTGTCCTAAACCACATCTAAATTGTGTGCGTCCACTTGTAGAAACCAGAACACACTGTCCCTGAGCTGCCAAGGGGACAGTGGAGAACCAGGCCTCATGAGTCTGCTTTGTGCCCTGACGTGCTATGGTGGGTAGATGAATTATGTGGCCTTTGCTGTTAAGATAATATCTGAAAAAACAGGAGTTGGATTTTACCTACCTGGCTTGGACCCCACGGTGTGAATGCTGTCATGGATCATCCAGAAGGAATTCTGCCACATCAGGAGATGAATAATACGCAGTTGGCAGTGATGCCTCCTCTCTGTCTGGGAATGTGTTCATGTTGTTTGAACGGAAGACTTTGTGTCTTGACAGATTGGCCCTCGTGTCTGGCCTTTCACAACCCTGCGCTTCCTCAGTGACCTGGCTTTGCTGTTCCTGCTTCCGGTGCCCTGAAGGTTGGCAAGCTGGGAAGAGGCATCCCTGCCGTGCCTGCTTCTGCCTTATACAGGCACAAGCTTTGGTTTCTTTCTTGTCTCTTTAGTTTTAGTTTTGGTTACCTATCCCAGTAGAGATTAAGCTCCTGTTATTTGTCAGCCCAGTTGGTGGTGCATTAATATTTGCTGTACTGGAAACTCATTTTCACTTAGCATTTTCAGAGCTGGACGTTCCATTCATTGTACTGAAGTTTTGGGTAAGCTCTGATGGGTGGGGTGTCTATAAAGAGACTGCAGGCTCTTTTCTGTCTGCAGGGGGAGCGGGTGATGCTGCAGGAAAAGGAGCCACTTGTAGGCCTGCAGGGCTTGGCAGTTCATGCTGGAGGCCCTGTGGGCGGCGGTTTGAGCCCCACAAAGTGAGCTGCACAGATTGGGGCTCTGGAAGGCTGACTGGAGAAGGTGGTGTTGAAATTGGGCTTCGAAGGAAAGGCTCATTTTCCACAGACCCATGGTTGGGAGGGTGGCAGAAAAGTGACTTTCCAGCTATCAGGAGTGCTGTACCCTGAGCAAAAAGAACAGAGGCAGGAGGTTTCAAGTGTGCCCTGCAGGTTGTATAAGCTGATGCAGAGAGACTAAGACTAGCTTGGAGGTAGACCTGGGGCACCCTGAGCCATCTCTGAGAGTATGTGTGAGTGAGGCGGAGCCCAGCGAAGGCTTCTCAGGGAGCAGCGAGAGCCTGAGAAGCCTGAGCCACCCGGCACACCGGATGGGGATGCATGGGGATGGGGTGATGACTCCACTGGTCTTAAGACGGGGAGTAGGGAGTTTGAAAACTGATAAGAGAGTGAAAGCTGCCTTTCGCCTTGATTGTCTCTGTTGAAAAGGTGTCCCTGACTCTGGGAGCAAGAGCCCAGGGAAGGGACAACTGGTTTTAATGTTTTTATTAACTTTGGGTGGTAGGATGAAGGGTTTTGGAGATTTAAATTTTTACTCTGAGAATTAACAAGAAAACCAGCTACCTTTCTCAGCATAGTTCTGGGAATGAATTCTATTAAATATATTTGTTTATAAGTACGAGCTATTTATCGTTCTTTTCTTCAAGTAGAATGTCATTTGCATAGCGCAAAGAATAAATACTGTTCAGAAAGAACTTTAAGACCAAGTCATCAAGATTTCTGTTATTATTAAAAGGTTAAAAATGACTCTAGCATTCAGTATGAGCTTTTAGCATGCAGTTCTATTTAATTTCAGATTATAACCTTAGATAAATGATTTTCTGGCCTCATTAATACTTAAAC